AAAAACACGACAAATTAATACACTTTATTATTGGCATTATCTTCGCTTCCATCCTCAAAACGGAGACACCAATTATTTATTTCAAGAAAAATCTATTTGCTCGGAGCCGGAGCAACTGCAGTTGGGGGTGGCAAAAGTGGTAACGACGAAGCTGGCGGTGGCGGCGGCACAAGTGGAAATAATGAAAATGGCGGTGGCGGTGGCGGTGGCATACGTACTGATGGTAGGAGTGATGGCGGAGCGAAAAATGTCAACGGCCTTCTTGGGCAAAAACGACGACGCCACCCTGGAGGAAATGGGAACGGGCCGATGCTGGGCCTCAAACTAGCCTCCGATCCACGCGGTGACCTAGGGGGTGGGGGCCCAATGGAAGGACAAAAGCGAAACCAAGGAAAGTTACGACCATTGTCGGCCAAAGGGTTCGCTACCGATTGTCGAAGCCCACGAGCCTCCCCTTTGTGTACTAAAACATTTGCAATAAATGTTAGCACACAAATAAGCAAGAAAGCTCTTGGGCTAGCCATTTTGTTTACTATGTTGTTTGTGAGAACTCCTTGTTAGCAAGAGATTGTTTTTATAGAGAAAGGGGGTATGGGCTTATAGCCTTATAAGAAGTGTGCATGCACGTAAAATATGATGAAGAATGAAAATCTTTTATAGTCCAACAACTTTAGCAAGCATTCAATTAATTAGTAGCAAGGAAGATTTGCCATTTGGCTGTCCAAATTAATGAAGTGGATCGGAGGCTAATTTATTGAATGAGATAAAGCCAACAAAGTCTCCAGCTATTTGGGCGACCCATAATTTTCTTGGGCCTCGTTTGCTTACCTTGATGGGATAAGAAGCATATCACATTCTATCCAACAAAGTAAACGAGGTCTTGAGCGAAAAATTATAATTATACAGTAAAATGTGATCAATTAGGAGGAATTAAAGTATGTTTTTGGTTATGAGATATAACCGTATAATAAAATATGCAATTTTTTTTTATATAAAAATGTCCGTTTATTGATGGTTAGATGTGGCAAGAGCAATATAACCAAATTTTAAATTAAAAGGTATGTTGTACTCTAGTATTATTGTAGGTTGCAAACAAGTTACCTGAATAAACTGATTTTCAGTCGTGGCCCGTTATATATTGTTGTCTGTCGCGTGACTAACATAAAGAGTTTAAAAATTTTAATATGTTGTAAACATTATTTGCCACTAAATCAAACCATGAAGAATTTTTTAATAATATATAGTTTTCATTGTTTTTATTTTGTTTCAATAATGAGATTAAATCTGAAAAACATAATCAATTACATTTAAAAGGAATTCTTAGAAAAATTTTAAGGTATGAACTCTGCAGTGCATCGCCATCACATACTAATTCAAATAGATGCAGATCATGAAAAAGCAGTAATGTTATTGCTCACTTAATGAGTACTAGTTTTGCGTTTATTAGGTTAGGTAATATACCAACGAAACAAATATTTTCTAATTAAAAAAAAAAAAAAGGCAAAACAATATCCCTTATCTCAATCGAGTGAACATTAAAATTTAAGTCTAACTCCTATACTTGCTAATAAGTATCACATCTACGAGAACACAAAACGTAATATTGTCTAAAAAATCTCCACATTACGAGATACATAACATTGTTATGTTCACAACCATGGCGACTATTAGTATAAAACCGCCGGAAAGAATGTACTATTTCAGTGATGACCGTTTTTGTTTTCCTGCTCCATTTCCTCTGCATCCTCAAAGCGCTGATCGTTTATGTGAAGCTGCACGAAACAAGGAAGTTTCTTATGTTCACTTGTTTATATTATACATGATGAAGATTCATTAAATATCTACTATAACAAAGTAATATGTGAATTGCTGACTTTCGACAGTAACTAATTCTTCAAACCAAAAGACGAAAAAAAAAATATATCTAGTTTTTTAAATATGCCAGAAAAGAAATGGGTACAGTGATTATTTATAACCGAGAGAGTAACAGCAGTAATTTGGCTCTACCGTATAAACACAAAATGATTTTCTCAACTGTACCTGCACAACTGAATGAGCCAAGTCATGAGTCCCATTAGCACCAATTGCATTCGTCGATATTTCAGGGAAATCACATTCTGGACCATCATCCTCTAAAGAGACAAACGTGAAAAGTTAAAAGAGTTGAGAACACGTAAAAAATGCTCAACTAAAGGGAACAAAGAGATTATTAATTCAGCTTGTACCTGCGCCATCATTTTCCAGTTGATCAGCACTGAAAATCCAATTGTGTTCAACTTCTTCCTCTGCTGGAAGCATACACAAAGTTATAATTAGTCCTAGTTAAACGCTCGGGAAGGAAAACAAAAATGAAAGACAAACCAAAAATTGATTTTGCATTAACCCAGTAGATTCATCATTACCTTCTGTGGGATCAGGATTCAGCTCGGCACACTCACAAAATATTGCAAACAACACATCCACTGTATAATATGAAGAGAATATTTAGAAAGGACGAATTTGGAAGGAAACAAGGGCAAAAGTGATAGAAAGATTTTTAATAAAATGAAGTTAGATAGTGATTGTGAAGAAGGGAAAAAACTGATAGTTACACTGATTGGGATCTGAAGGCACAAGCCTCATCTCAGTTATTTTCGATATGTCTACTGCATCGTCACTCTCAGAACCCGAATCTTCCATTTCATCTTCCTCAGCTCCAGTGTCGATCTTGAAAAGACAAGAAATGCAAATGTGAACATAAGTTCATCAAACAAAACATATAAAATCCCATATTGGCCGAAAGACAGTGACTCCAAAACAGAGCGAAAAAGAACAAATGTCGAGCAAGCAGAAACTTGCTTAGAAAAGAAAAGACTGTCTAGACTAGGTAACATAAAACCATGCATACAAAAAATTCCCTGACTCATGCAGAGTCCTCCTCAGAAGCTGAAGCTACTACCAACTAGAGGAAAATCTAACATATAAAGTTATCATTTTACAAATATGTAAAATAATAAGATTTAGGTTGGTCTGCCGTATGACATAGGAAAAGTGCATCGACATGCTTCCATACACAACATATATAGCTATATGCACAAATCTTATGCAATTTTCAAACACAATATTCATTCAAATGGCATACAATACTTCAAAATACAATAGATTTTAGCAATTGCATGCACCGTGCTTGTTAAATCCGTCCAGTTTCAAGAGACAACAGGCAACTTATCCACATTACTTACACTAAAACCAGTTCGATGACGCCCAGCCCAAAACTCGGAAAATTTCATATTATTCCTATCATTTCATACACACTCCTAACACTCAAATATCCATACATAATTCCAATTGCAACTCAAAACTCTATTTCATCAAAAAGGTAAAAAAAAATACTAAATAATGGACATGATAGGCTTAGTGTTAAATACAATCATGAACCTTACCTGAGTATATATACAAGGGGAAGGATAAGCCTCAGGGTCACTGGACACCGCGTGCAGAGACACGGAGATGAAGTCGACCGCATAGCCCTTAGCTCTGTCTGTGTCACTCAACCACACAACTTGTCTTTCCAAACAAAAAAAAAAAAGATCAGTTGCGCCAAAAAACACTTCCAAAATCCTACAATTTCATGAGCAAGAAACTTCATTTACTTGGTAGTGATGTAGAGAGTGCCGGGGGATTCAGGCGGGCGGTGGCCGTCGCCTAGAACGATTGCGACACCTTGCTGGACGTGCATCAGCTCCTCGCCATTTCCGCCGTCTAATACTGGCCGTCCAGCGCCGTCTCTTTCCGTCACCAGTCGAAGTCCAGTGGCCATTCGCCGATGGGAGTTTAGCGAGGGTGTGGGTTTGACGAGGGTATAGGGAATTGGGGATTAGGGTTTTGACGAGGAGTAATTCAAATAAGCGTCCATGAAGGAAGAGGGATAGAATTGTCATTAACATAAAATTGTGTGGATTATTTATTATTATTATTGTTATTACTTTCGCAATGAAAAAGACCAACTATAGTCTATAGCCTTTCGAGGAAGGAAATGCTTTATATTATTGGAAAATACAAAGTTTCTTGAATAATTCCGTCGAGATTTGTAACTGTAAATTATGTATTTGTCAGAATTATATTTTATTATTATTATTTTCGCATGAAAAAGACCAACTATAGCCTTTCGAGGAAGGAAATAGTTTATATTATTGAAAAATGTTATGGTTTATTATTATTATTTTCGCATGAAAAAGACCAACTATAGCCTTTTGAGGAAGGAAATAGTTTATATTATTAAAAAATGCTATAGTCTCGTTATTGAATTATTCCATCAAGATTTCTAAATGTTATATCATCATATTAATTCCATCAAGATTTCTAACTACTGTTAGATCATCATGTTAATTCCATCAAGATTTCTAACTATTAGATCATCATGTAACCGTCAGAAATAGTTGATCTAACGATTACAAATTTCAAAAAATAGTTCCATAACGAGACCATACCATCTTCCATTATTAACTTTTTTTTTTCTTTCAGATAGATATTTGTATTCCCATTAATAATCTGAAGACTCATTTATGAAATAACACATTTTTTTTAATTTTTTTTTCCATTTATGGAATAATTTTTTTTAATATTATTTTTTTTACTGTCCACATCTCTCCTCCAGGAGACATCACCTAGAAACTGTTAAAACCTACTACTCAACTCAAGGCCACTAGAAATCAAGTTCAAAAGCTTCGAATTAAACATGTCTATGACACATTCTTAAAAAAGAAATAGAAATCACACGAACAAGAATGATATCCAAAATTGTCGTCCCCTTTAAATAACACAGTAGAATCAAATATCAAAGTTTCTGATATAATTATATCCTTGCCAAAATACAAGAATTCGCCCGTGCATGTTGATGATTGTCACACTCCACATTTTCTCCAGAACTTCACGGGCAACTTCTCCTGAAAATCAAGCCTTAAGCCACAAGCGTGCTAGCAGTAGTTGACTCACTGTGGAAAAAGAAGTCTTGTCAACACTTGCAAAAAGATTATTTGTAAATACAAGTCGAGACAATGCAAACTCCATGAAGATAACTGCACATTAAATCGGGATCTCAAATGGGAGGCTTACCACGATTTTGTAGAGCTAAAGAAAAACCCATATAAAAATCTAATCTGGGTCAGAAAAATAGATAACTTTTCAAAAGAGTAAAATAAACAACAAAATAGACTACTCCAACGCTACCCATTGGCCGTTTTACCAAAAATAAATCATTAGGGATTCTCAGGGTTGTAAAATGTTGAAACAAGCTTCTCTAAGCAATTAGCATTTCATTTATCCTATCCACTTATTGTCGTTTTCAGAACATATTTAAATTTTAGTGCAGGCAATCGTAATTTGCAAACGAATTTAATGTCAGGAGTAGCTTTTGATGTGTTCGAAAATCAGTCTAAGTGGAAAAGTAGTTTTCATGCTGTTTCTGTTTTCATTCAACTAAAGAAATGTCATCACTGCAACTCAAAAGAAAATTGTAGCATAGTATTTGATCATGTCTTTTTTCAACTTACAACGAAAGAAATATCACCACTGCACACACTCAAAAGAAATTAGGTGTCTTCCGATACTTTCCTTCATATTTTAACAGTTTATGATTTCACAATGTCATTCATTTCCTCAAACTCTATGATCCATTGAAACTTAATGTCATGGATAAAAATGGAAGATCATATTTTATTTTACATAAATTAATTTAAAAAAAAATTACTCGAAATCGACAGTTCAAATGACACATACAGAAAGAACTACAACAAGATGCTGAAAAAACTGAGACAGACCTAGAAGAAATTCAAAATGGAACTCATAATATCAAAGTGCAACGATGATCCCAATTTCGAGGTACAAAACTTCATCATCAGAAGGGTTAGTTGATAGCCAAAGAAAGCCTGTCTAACCAATTGTAAAGCCGGTCCAACTGATTCCAGGTGAAACTAAGAAATAGAATCGTTGTCCAAGTTCTTACCCTTGCAATTCGTAGCTTGAAAAACCAACACCAACTTCAAAAGAATTGGAAATATTAACGTATTTGCAAAACATTTTGTTTGACTTCCACATTTTTTTACCAACAAAATTCCTCCATTTCATATATAACTTAATTCACAGCCAATTCAAAATCAACAGGCCGCAATTTGATATGAGCTGACACCTTATGTACTAATCCATTGCTCTCTTCTCTAAGTTATAGCTAAATGGAAGGAAAATCCTAAAAATTCACATGATATTCGAAAATAGAATATCTTATTTATGCACCAACTCCAATATATCATGCCGGTGTAAAGTTCTTGAATCAACACACTAAAAACAATCGGGAATCAAGCTAAATTATTAAACCTCCATTCATACAAACCGATAAACCAAACTTTTACTCAACAAAACCAGCAGTCAAGTAAAGCCATTAAGAAGGGCCATCAAACGTAAACAGCAAAAAAACAGAAGAGATAATGGATTTACTATTTCCAGACGGGCGGGAGCTTCTTCGTCTTCTTGTAGTAACGGGCGAGACGGTGAATCCTGCTCTCCACCAAAATCAATCTGAACTTGGAGTCCTTGTCCTTCCTGTTCCTCTCCAAGTGCTTCCTGATGGCAACTGCTTTCTTTATCAAGTGATACAGATCTTCTGGAATCTCGGGCGCCAGACCTTAATAGATTATGGAATTATTAAGATTTAACTAACCTTAACCACCACCAATCACATTGTTTTCGTTCCAAAAAGACACAAAATTTGCAGAAAAAATTGTATGAAACGGAATAATACCGTGCGCCTTCAGAATGCGGAGGATCTTGCTTCCGGTGACGCTCTTCACCTGAGCAATACCGTGTGAATCACGGAGAATCACACCGATCTGTGATGGCGTCAACCCTTTCTTCGCAAACTTGCAGATATTCTCTTCAACCTTAAAGGACAATACAAAACAAAAAAAAAAAAAAAAAAAAAAAAAAAAAAAAAAAAAATTAAGAAGAAAAATGAACAAATGTACTGAGCAGAGCAGATTTTGGGAAGAAGGTAAAAATAATTACATCTTGAGAGGAGGTCTTGAGCCAGCTGGGAGGAGTTCTCTTGTAGGGGAGAGCTGAAGCTGAAATGCCCTTACTGTAATGGAAAGCAAAAAAAAAATATGAATATGCAGAGAACAAAGAATCACTAGGAAGCAAAAAATACTGTTGTACGGAGAAAATATGGTTACCCGCGGCTGTGCATACGACCCATGACGGCGGAGGAGACGGCGGCGCAGCTCTGCGCTTGTGAAGTTCGGTTGCTGCAGAAAACGAAGGTTGCGTCTGTTCCGTTGGATTTGGCAATTAGGGTTTTGTTTTAAGTGATGGGGACATGGGCCGGCCCAGTATTTGGATTTTGGACCCGTAATGTTGATTAAAAGTAGGGCCTTTTACAGGAATTTGGGAAGTCCAATTTCACTAATTTCACTGTTGTAACTTGTAAAAGTCGATTAAGTTAATATGAGGAGTCGAACTAAATATAAAATAACAAATTTAATCATAAACTATAAACTACTTATTTATCATATTACACTAGAGTTTTTCAAGCAGATATATATATTTTTTGTGCTTTTCTTAATCATATGTGTCAAATTTTTCGAATTGTGGTGCTTCCTAATTCTATTTTGTCAATTGGTGTTTCGGAGCACTAAATGTGGATATAGACTTCTATCCATGTCGAATTTTAAAATTACAAAACGCTTTACTAATTTAAATTATAATTATTTTAAAAGTTTAATAATTTTTGTCTATGATGAATCAAATTAATCATTTGTTAGCGAGCTTTAATTTTACATTCACACTGCATAAATAAAATAAATAATTATATTTGTTTCATAAAAAAATAAATCAACTATTGATATTAATAAAAAAATAATAAAATATTAATTACTTACACAAGTTTATCTGTAAAGTTATTATATATGATTTATATAAATTATTATAATTTAAAGGATAAGTCCTAAAAATGACGGGTGTAGTTTTAAATGAAAATAGTAATGCGAATTTCTAAAAAGTTAATTTATATTTTAAGCAAGCATTTTTTTTTGTCATAAATTTAAGTATAAATTCTTTATTTAGCACCGTGTAATACACGGTGTTTTGTACTAGTATAAACATGTTAGCATTATGTGTTAAGCTCATCCACTACAAGTATAAAGGACCATTTTCGTATTGCCTTGAAGAGATTTAGAGTGTTTATAATCGTGTTTCTTTTTCTCTTTTGTGGAAATTAGTTCAGGAAATAAAACACCAAAAAA